GTTACTTCTAATCCTACTTACAACTACCCATGAACCTCCACGTAGTACTTACGGCAGCGAGGGTTGCATGCGGCAGGGATGAAGAGGGGGCGACACGGAAATCCAAGCTGCTGAGCAGCTCAATCCGAAGGACTCGACAGTGCATCACACAAAGGGGGGACCCTAAACCCTAAACCCTGAACCCTGGGAGACCTAGTTCGTCGTTTACGACAACCGTGTTGAAGAAGTCCGAGTTCTCTTCAAAGAACTTCAACTCGCCTCAGACAGCATGGCGGACATGCAGGGCCTAAACCCTAAACCCTGAACCCTAAACCCTAGACCCTAAACCCTAAACCCTAAACCCTGAACCCTGAACCCTAAACCCTAAGTCCCTAAACCCGTCAAACCTTTGTGCATGACTCGTGCTCCTTAAATGGGAGACCATGTCTCTGACATGTGTTTGCTTCGGTCACCCCCGAGCCCAAAACCGCCAAAACGCCTCAAGCGTCATGACGCGCCATCGCCAAGCCAAGGTGCCCCTGGCATTCTTGAGGCGAGTCTGGATTTTCTCCTTCCATGGCAGGTGGGGCCCTAAGTGCTTTCAAACTCCTGGCCCCCCGAAACCCCAAACCCTAAACCTTGAACCCTAAACCCCAAGGCCTGGGCCCTAAACCCCAAGCCCTAAGCCCTAAACCCTAACCCTAAACCCTGATTCTTGCAGTGGAACCTCACACACTGAACCTTTCACTTGCGTTCGCACCCGCGCAGTCCTCAGTCTCCGTTCCTCGCGATCGGAGCCTTTTCTCCAATGCTTCCAAGCAAGGGGGCGCAATAAACCTGAGATGGCAAAACGCCCTCTTATGAGCGGTTCGGGTTTAACGTCTAGACCGAGAGAAACTGAGTCACCCAGGAATGAAAAGGGTACCCTTGTTGATTTAAAGGGGCTTTTCGGAAACCTCAACCCCCAAAAAAGGAACAAGGTTATTCTACTCTGGGGGCCTAGAATTTCATAGGCTTAGGGTTTGAATTCAGGAGGTCCAAGCGCGTCCCAAGCTTCAGATTGCCACGAGCGCCCCCACTTGTGAGACCGAGCCGGGCCATTTGGGAGTTTACGAAACTGGGGGACCCCGAAATAGACCCCCAAATAGTAGGATGCCCATGTCATAAGGACCCCAAAAAAGTACCGCTAAGATCCTAAACCCCCCATTTCGTTGAACTCCAACTGCGTCTGAGCCGCAAGTAATTGAATTCGCTGTGCACCTCTTTGATCAGCCGCGCTCCTCCGCGTTTGGGCGCGGCATGTGGACTGTGACCAAGGCACTGAAGATGCCCCCGCTGCCAGAATCTCTACTCTAATCCCCCCAAGCCTGAATCAAGGCCTGAACTTCTGACAGTCCAAACTGTCCAACAAATCTGTGATTAGCTGCGGCCGCGTCGCCCTTGCGGTGGACAAGAAAAGAAGCATCTCTACTACTGGGACTTGCAAGTACATTGATTTCCTCCAAAAGCCTCAGGTTCTGATAAAGAACTTAAGAACCTTAATAGCAAAGATGCCGAGCCCTTACACCCTCAGATTCCCATGCGTCATTTCTGTCTGGCAAAAGGTGTGGCTCCTTGCACGTCGACATCCAGGATGCAGATCTGGCCCTTGTCTCGTACAGTGTCCTGAGCTTTCTGCCTCGACCCCTAGACAACGCACAATTGTACCGCCCAAACGTGCGCGCGTGCGTGTGTGTGCGCGCGCAAGTTCCAAGGTTTTTGGCTGTAAGCTTCGGTCGAGCGCGCGGCAGGAAGATAACAAGAAGAGCTCCGTTCTCTTGCTGCAGCACATGTCTGGGAAGACCGGACTTTCCATCGACCCAAGTCTCCAACCCCGATCCCTCCTCAAGGGTGTATATGGGGGGTTTCCGGGTGCCCTTTTTGGGGGCTCCTTTAGAAGGAATCTATAGTCTTTCGGGGCATATAAGGGGTATCGGAAATCCCCATATGGGTTTAGTTGGCTCCGAAGATCAGAGGACTAGGATTCTTGCGTGGTATGGACTCGGTATTTCAGCCTGTGGGCAGTGCTCGGCTAAGAATCCCCTCTCGAGACTTAGCCTGTCGTCACCTGATGAAAGCAAAGGGTCCCTCATCAACCCCCGCCCCCAAATACAGCATAGTCACCCTTATCGGACCTCTAAAATCTGGGAAATCCCATACCTGAACCCTCAACCTTGAAGGCCATTCAACTGCCAAAACCAAAAATAGCCGGGGGGCGAGGGCCGCCTGAGAGGTACCATAGAGGTTACCGTGAACGCTGGCGTGCTCTAAAAAGCGACCGGGTGTGGCCACTTCCTGCGAGGCTTGGGGGGGGGGGGGTTAGGGTTTGGGTCTAGGGGACTAGGGGACTAGGGGTCTAGGGGTCTAGGGGTCTAGGGGTCTAGGGGTCTAGGGGTCTAGGGGTCTAGGGGTCTAGGGGTCTAGGGGTCTAGGGGTCTAGGGGTCTGGGGGTCTAGGGGTCTAGGGGTCTAGGGGTCTAGGGGTCTAGGGGTCTAGGGGTTTATGGTGCTTGTCAGGTCTAGGACTTGGGTTTATGGGGAGGGGGAAGGCGTTTCTATAGATTCTGCAAATTGAATAAAGTTGATATTCAAAGCACTCGCACGAATGCTACCATCGAGTCGTTTGTCAACAGCTGCTAGCAAAAAATCTGGCCATAGCTCAACAAATCCATAGAAGAAATCATCTGTCGAGCCAGCGCCATCGCCACACTAACCACTACCCCCGGATCCTTCAACAATCACGAAAGTGTACTTGCAGTACTGCGTCCAACTCCATGCACAGAGGTTCCAGGCTAAGCTGCAAAGTTGGCTTTAGGAGGGTTCCAAAGAGCAATGGGCTAGTCCCCAAGGTAAGAAGACTCCACAACCGTCAAGCCCAAGCCCCAAATGCCCGGAGCTCAACACTAACTAAACGGTAGTTCTACCTCCGGGAAGTGTCCTTCTTCATCTCCTCAAGTTCCACGAACCAGTAAGACTTGCCATGCACCTTGGCGGGCCATGTATTCAGGCTTAGCAGCAACTGCTAAGAGCGGCCCCCTCCACCCTTTTTTCGGTTTTGGGGTGTAAGACTTGGGGCGAGCCCAATAACCTTGGGCTTGTCAGGCTTGACATGTACACGGCTACACAGTCCGAACAGGCGCAAGAAGAATCGCTCGACGATACGTCGGCGTCCAAGCCGAGCCTGGCTCTTTTGCCAGGGCTCACCCCCAGGTGATTTGCTTCGTAGCCTTCCGCCCGTTCCTGAGCCTCTTCCTCAATGTCTGCCTCAGGCTCATATGGGTGGTGCCAGTCTTTTAAAATGCGAGGCATTCAGTGTCAGCTGTGCTGTGGTAGTTGCCCCGCCGATGTTCCAGGATCAGCCTGGCAATGCGCTAGATTCGCTTTCCAAGGGCTATGCGGACGACACATCCCGCTGAGAAGTTGCAGCTGACGGTCAGCGGGCGTCGCAGGGACCGCCTACTTGCATCCGACCCTGAGTGATTGGCCGTGGCCCCTACCACACATGGGGTCTTGCCGGAATGTCCGTATGGCGCCTCGCAAGCCCTTCGCTTCGCAATTGAGAGAGTGTAGGTAGAGACCGGAACTCGGCCAGGTTGTGAGGGTGGAGGCACAAACCCCTCGACTCGTGCAGCACGAGCAGGGCCACATGGGCTGGAAGCAGGCCGGCATCACAGCGTTTACGTTCGCAGCGCCCTCAGCTGTGATGGCCGTGCCCTTTGCCATTGCCAATGCTGGCTACGTTCGCGTTGGCTAGAGTTTGCGCGTCAGTTCTGAGATCTCCAACCCGAATAAGAAACCCCCCCGTGGCCACTTTGCCTCAAGTCGTTTTGGCTCAGTTGAGTTCAGCCTTCAAAGTTCGCCTTTGAATAGTTGCTACTACCACTGAGGGCTTAAGGTGCTTGGGTTTAGGGTTTAGGCTTAAGGCTCAGGGTTTAGGGTTTAGGGCTTAGGGTTGAAGGTTTAGGGTTTCGGGTGTTTTCGGTGTAGGGTGACCCCCTTAACCCTAAACCCTAAACCATGTCCAATTGCTATTCACATGGTGCCCCTCTCCATTTCAGCCTTCAAAGTTCTCTCTCGACTGCCACTGAGGGCTTAAGGTGCGTGGGTGCAGGGTTGAGGGCTTAATTACCCTTTGCCTGCATGAGTACTTGATCCAACCTTAGTTGCCCTAGAAGGCAAAGGAGCAAAGGAGCCAACAACATTCCCTAAACCCTAAACCCTAAACCCTAAACCCTAAACCCTAAACCCTAAACATAGGCTCGGGACTTCTCCGGGTCGGGGCTTGCGGGTCGTGTGCGAGACCGCGAAGCCAAACTGCCCTGTGGAGTGGGAACGGTTTTTTCCGGGTCGAAAGTCTACAGGGCTTCCAGCTTCCGTCTTCCGTGCTCAGACTTTTTTCAGTGTGGTCTCTGTGGTCCTGCGTGATATCTCCACAAGCAATTCAGATGGTCGGTTTAGGGTCCAGGGCTGAGGGTTGTCGAAGTCCCTCCCCCTCATCACTAGACTAGGGTTCAGAAATCAGGGGATAGCAGGAGGCAACCTGGAACCCCGGTTGCAACAAAAAGCAACTTCCGCCCAGCCCAAGGAATCCTGGGAACGTGTCCATAATCTTCTGAATCCTCGGCTGCTTCATGTGCTTGGGCTTGCTAAGGTCCCTACTTGCTTACAGGTGCACGCTGCATCTGCTACTTCAAGGCTCCGCTACAAGGCCCTGTGTAAAGCCCGAGCCCGAACAGACCAGTGAGGCCCAGCGTCAGGGTTCCCTTGCCCACGCCAGACGGTCCCACAACCACCAGCGGCCTTGCTTGAGGGGCACACGTCACGAAGCGGCGAAGGAGTACAAACACTAAAACACCTTAAGCTCTAAGCCCAAATCTCCCCAAACTGCCTGTTACACTAAAACACCTTCTAAGCTCTAAGCCCAAATCTCCCCAAACTGCCTGTTCTGGCGAAAGTGTCCATGGCTTAGACAGGCTAGGAATCCGCTGTGATTGTTGAGTGCTGCAGGGAGGCGTCGCTGGCTCACAACCTGAACCTTTTTCAGGGAGCCCCTGTAAATATGACAGTACGATAATATGAAAAACAAGAGTAACATTAATATTCATATTCATATTCATATTAATAATAATCGTAATAGTAATAATAATAGTAGTAGTAAAACTGAATTACTGAAAAGCATCCTGGACACGTGTGGGCAGCCGGTGGCGCAGGTTCGTTGACAAGCCTTGGTTGAAGGTGCGAGAGGGGCTCTACTGACGCAAGGCGTAAGGGTTGAGGGATTAGGGTTTAGGGTTTTAGGGTTTTAGGGTTTTAGGGTTTTAGGGTTTTAGGGTTTTAGGGTTTAGGGTTTATGGGTTATCCCACCGTAGTTCTGCTTCTGAGAACCCAGGCTTCGCAGATTAGCCGCTTAAACTTAATTAACTACCCCTGATTTCAAAACCCCATGAAGCCTGTGCCATCAGCCGTGAAGCCTTCCGTTCGCAGCTGGTGCCGCGCTGTAGCCGCCGTTTTTGGCGAACCGCGGCACGGCTGGGGCCCGCTCCTGGTTTCATGATGTTTGTTGAGGGAAGGAGGAGGATTTTGTGGGAAAGGGGGCCTCTGAGACTTCGAAAGGACTTCGATCGGGGACCGATCCGAATCCCTGTACCATCCCCGCGTTGGAACCATGATGGCAATCAAGTTTTTCAAATCCCTTGAAATTGTTAAATACCATCCAAACAAAAAAAGGTTCTTAAATCCTAACCAAAGCCCTAAAAGTTCTAAACCCTAAAACCCCTTTAGGGTCTCTCGGTACTACAAAGGCGGAGCATCCCGGCTTAACCCTAAACCCTAAACCCTAAACCCTAAACCCTAAACCCTAAACCCTAAACCCTAAACCCTAAACCCTAAACCCTAAACCCTAAACCCTAAACCCTAAACCCTAAACCCTAAACCCTAAACCCTACCCCCGGAGTGCTGCCGGGCCGCGGTCGAGGTCAAAACCGCTTTCGGTGGTGCCTTCGGCTGCATCTCCCGACGAATGGCGAACCCAAAGCGTAGACAGAAAGACGCGTACCTGAGGGCGGTTTAGGGTTTAGGGTTTAGGGTTTAAGGGTTTAAGGGTTTGATGGCTTGGCGCCCCAGACCAACCCCAAGGGCTTAGCATTGAGGCTTCAGCTAGAGACTAAGCCGACATTTGACCAGCACAAGGATCCCTAAGCTTTCCCTCAGCTGAAGATACAGGTGGGTGGTTGTCAAAATTATGATCCCTTTTGGGGTACCCTAAATATTAGGTGCCGTATTATAATAGGGACCCAAAAAGGGACCATAATTTTGACAACCACCCAGGTATCACACCCAGAGAGATGGATGAATGAACTCCCACATCCCCCCAAAACACGAATGAGTTGGCGGGTAGGGAGGCAGTTGCTCATGGATGGAAACCTCGCCTAACTTTCTCACTTGAGCCCCTCAGCCCCCTAGTAGCCCTAGTTTCCATGCAACAGCAGTAGGTTGGCCTGTTGCTGCTTCTGCACATTCCCATTGCCGAGCAACTTGGACTGACTATTGGTACGAACCCACCTTCCTACCATCTGGACTTAATCCCCTGAACCAGTTAATCACCCACAAACCCCAAGCTCTACAGCCCCCCTGAAAAGAAACCTCCCAAACAACCAGAGCTTCTGGGCAAGAACAGCAAGCCCCCGAAACCCTTGCGCTACCCTCCAGATGCGTTGCCTGAACCCTACACGGCCCTAAACCCTAAACCCTAAACCCTAAACCCTAGACCTTAAACCCTAAACCCTAAACCCTAAACCCATATGCATATGGACTGTTGAGCCGGTCATGCGTCAAGCAAGAACAAAGTAATGTGTAAGTGACAGGAAAAAGTTGCTTCTGATTTGCTCTTAGGACATAGGGTTCATGTCTTGTGACATTTCCCCAGTAAATCCTGGATGCTTATGAGACAGAATATGTCATGGCGCGGTATTTCAGGATACTTCGCCGCAGGCTTCTGTCGCCAGACTTCTCTGTGGAGTTTCTTGTGTTCATAATACCCTGAACCCTAAACCCTAAACCCTAAAGCCGCAAAAGTTTAGGTCGATTGACGGGCCTGGAGGGTAAAGCCTCCATGGCAGGACCTGATGGTAGTGCCTCCCACGTCCAGGCCCCAGGGTTGATGGCTTACGAGGCCCACACACCCATGACCAAGTCCCAAGGAAAATTCTGAGTCCAAAGTAGGGGGCTTCGGGGCTGAGAATAGCTGGGGGTGGTATACTTAATGTTGTTCCCCTAGAAAACCCCTATACATATCTTAGATAGTCCCTATATACCTAAGTAGCCCCTAAATTAACCCAAAAGAACCCCTCCTTTAGTCCCTTGATGTATTCTAAAAGCAGGAAGCCCACTACAGGGTAACTTGGCTCCGCTTGTTGCCGAGCTGCTGGTCCAGCCTGGGCCGCAAGTCCGCTCTTTAGGCTTGGATGTATGTTATTGGTTTAGGGTTTCGGGTTTGTTTTTTGTGGTGCAGGGTTTGGGGATTAGGGTGCCTTTAGCTTAGGATCAGGGCTTGGGTTCAGGTATTCAGGGAAAGGGGGTCTTCTTGATTCAAAAACGCTTCCCGGGGTTCGCACGTCTGCTTGGTTTTTTTAGGTGTTTTGCTTCTGGGGTTCTTTAGGGCTTTGTAGGCCTTCGGCCCCAGGGGCTTCGGGAGCATCGAAACGGGAGCGCTCGGAAGACTGAGCAGCCGACACAGCTGGATCCTTCGCCTTGAGGAAGTCACCAGCTGATACCGTCGTACTGGGCTCCGACAACGGCACAGAGCCCAGCTCCACTGCAACCAGGGTGAGATTATCGTCCGCCTCCTTGTCGATGCAAAGCCGGAGGACGCCAGCAACCGTGTCACCCAGATCTTTGGAGGCTTTACACACGTGCTGCACAACTTGCTCGTTGCTCAAGGTGTCCCAGATCCCGTCGCAAGCCAGGATCAGCCAGTCGCCGCGTTGGGCAGTCCAGTGGTACACCTCCGGCATGCAGGTGACCTTCTGCTCTGTAGCAGCCCCGGGCCCCTGCTTGAAGCCATAGTCGCCAAGAGCTCGACTGCATGCCAGCGTGCCTCTTCTTCTCGGGCTGATGATGGCGGGTTTTGGGGCCTTTTTTTGGGAAAGTCTGCTGGGGAGCCGTGCGGCTGAATCACCAGATTTCTGGATGTTGGTGGTAGAACAGCATGCAAACGCAAACCAATTTTCGAGAAGAGCCAAGGGGCCATCTATGCGAGGGGGGTCGAAGTCATCATTGACCTCGCCGCCGGCAGCTACGATGCGCTCGCGCTCTGACTTGTCTCCCGGCCGGTGATCTCGCGTACACTCGATAGTATCTGAAGATTTTCTCCAAAGCAGAGCACGCGAATCCCCACAGCTGGCGACCAACAGGTGCAGGACGTCAGATCCGTTTTGCTGAATCTTGGCGACTGTTGCCTAGGCTGCACCCGAGTCACACTTCTAGGATTCCGTTTGACCTAGCAACCCCAACCTAGCTTGTTCGAAGCAGGTGCTAGAGGCATCCTAGCTGCAGTCGTCCCCGCTTCACACCCCTTGGGAAGTGCATGCCTCAACTCAGCATCGCAGGCGACGAAAGCCTGGAGTAAGCCTTCGTCGTCGTCCGCTGTTGAGATGTGATGCGGCAAGCCTTCGCTTCATTTATGGGGGGCTCTGATTTTAGGAGCAGCAGCAGCAGTATCCCTGCAAGACCTTGAAACCCTTCCCTGACCCCCTTTAGGTCTGCCACGGAAAACCCTAAACCCTAAACCCTAAACCCTAAACCCTAAACCCTAAACCCTAAACCCTAAACCCTAAACCCTAAACCCTAAACCCTAAACCCTAAACCCTAAACCCTAAACCCTAAACCCCTCCGCTGCCGGGGAGCGTTCTGCGCAGAAGGCTGCGGCCTCATCCCCCAGATGCCCATCGAAGACCCCACAGATTCCCAGGCCTTAGTTGCTTCATAAGCTTTGAACTAAACCCTAAACCCTAAACCCTAAACCCTAAACCCTAAACCCTAAACCCTAAACCCTAAACCCTAAACCCTAAACCCTAAACGGCCCTAAACCCTAAACCCTAAACTCTAGTTCTAAGGGGACTATAGTATCCCAAAAAGTGCAAAGTGTACTCATTCAGCTACTAAGAGGCTCTGGTCCAGGACATGGCTGTCTTCGAAACTTGGCCGAAGTCCCTAAGCTCAGACTCATGGGGGTTTAGGGTTTAGGGTTTAGGGTTTAGGGTTTAGGGTTTAGGGTTTAGGGTTTAGGGTTTAGGGTTTAGGGCTGCTCAGACACATGGGGGTTTCCGAAAATAGGGGTACCCTTTTTGGGGCTCCCATTAAGGGGATTCTATTCTATTTGGGGTATACATGGGGTACCCTAGTTTGGGAAATACCCACATGCTGATCTCAGTTGGGGGAACATGTAAGTCAGCACACACGTAGGCTGCATGCAGCACCTGCTTAGCAAGCCTTGCAGGAACTAAAAAACGTACGACTAGGGGGCTTCTGGCTGTGCTAGATCCCATAAGTTTAGAGGGGATATTGCACGTCTCACAGCCCCCTAAGTAGAGGGTTTAGGGTTTAGGGTTTAGGGTTTAGGGAGCTTCTGCCATCTCGTGCCCGGACACCTGCATGGCAGCAACGGCTGCGCGACCCATTTGCCCCGCGCTTCGCTCCACGGCCGTGGCCGTGACAGGTGCTGGTAGAGGCATGGCGCCGCGGAAAAATTGTGGAAAAGATGGGCTCCGGTCGGCTGTTTTGCAGTTGCCACTAGAGTTGGCTGCTTGGCATGCTTTGGCTTTAGGTGGCTCTGATCCCTTAGGGTGACTGAGAGGGTCTGGTATACTAGATGGCGAGGTCTTCACAGAGCAGCTGAGAAGGTGCTGGGTGCTGCAGCTCATCCCTGAAGGAGCTACATCGTGAGCTGCTGTTGCGGCTGCCTATGCATGGGTCGGACGATGGCGCAAGGATAGCACAAGTGAAGTCGAATCCGGCCGCAAGCTGTGCGGCAGCGTGCGCGTGACCGGTGGACTTGCACAGTCGAGCATCTTAAGCCGCGGGCGCGCTCTTTGTCCTGCATTGCGCTGTCCCGGTTAGGAACAAAACGCTGTGAAGCTTAAAGCAGGAATGCGAGGGGTCGGATGGGACGGTAGCACTGGCCTCAATTTAGGCCGCACTCGAGGCCATATTGACCCCTTCCTTGCCCACCCGACCTGCTCAGGGCTGCAATTCCTTTCTGCGAGATCAGAGATGGTCAGCCCCTGGAAACGCCAGAGGGCCTGTGATGGCACTCCGATTTGCTCGTCTGAGCAGGCTGTGGAAAAAGGCCTCTTCTGGCTAGCGGCTAGTGGGCCTGGTTCTGCGAATGTCCGTGGTCCAGCACGGGAAGAACTGGGTGGCTTGCTCTAGTCCACCGGCGTCATTCTCTCACACGACGTCGAACCTGGCACGCCTGCTCAAAGTAGTGCTGCACGACGTCGTCCGGGTCTACCCACCGTTTTGCCTGGATTGCTTGTCCTGAGGCTGTACAGTTTGCGTGTCACGGCACTACGTACCCAGGACATGGATCCTTCACGCAGCTGTTCAAAGCCGTGAAGCCCTTCTTCACTACAAGCGCGCGTTCATCCAAAGTCCACAGGTCGTACCTCTTCCCCGGCTTTGCCTTTCAAGAAGCTCCTTTTAGAAGTTCATATGCTCCAAGCCATCCGGCCAGGGGGAATATTCCATGATCTGACCCGAAATTCCTTTTTGTTGCGACTTTGTTTTCTCTTGTCTCAAGGCCTGAATTAAAGGCCTTCCACAAGAAGCCCCCCCTCCATTCCACATCCCTCGCGGCTTGCTTGCCTATTGTTTTTGGGGACAATGCCATGATGCCCTTCTGCCAAGCATCTCGCTATCTGAGCAACGTTGAGCACGCGATACTTGCCCTGAACCTGGGTCCCGGGTTGATTGCGAAGTGAGCCTAGGCCCTGGGCCCGAAGCCCTAAGCCCTGTTCCCTAAACCGTAAACCCTGAACCCTGAACCCTAAACTTTAATTAAGGCTAGCATGCGCTTCTAGGCAAAAAGGGGAAGCTACAGCGATATGAAGAGGAATGTATGTGTATGTATCTTCACATACATACATACATACATACATATACATATACATGTGTATATGTATATGTACACAGGGACATAGGCCTCAGCAGGGGGCATACATGTCTAAGGCCCAGGGTTGGAGCTGCTGCCAGAGCCTGGGCAGCCCAAGGACCGGCACAGCATGTGCCCCTCAGACTTACGATTTCGCGGTCGCTGATTCTTACCCTTACATCCCACGTCCCCGCCCTAGACCCTAAACCCAAAACCCCAGAAATCCATCTCTCGCCCAGAGGCCTGGGAACTGCGAGCAGGGCGGGCCTCTAGTGCCGAGCGCCTGGGAGCCCCCCAAAAGAACCCCCCATGAAGCCACTGAAAAGTCTTACTTTGGGGTCTTCCGGAAAGAAAAAAGGACAGGGCTTTCCCTCGCCAGGCTTCACATGCTGGTGATTTAGTACCGTTGGCCGCTGTTCTTACTGCTTTATTATTGTTTTTGTTGTCGTCGTCGTCGCCGTCGCCGTCGTGTTCGTTGTTGTCGTTGTTGTGGTTGTCGTTGTTGCTGTCGTTGTTGTTGCTGTCCTTGTTGACAATGTAGTTGTTGCTGTTATTGTTGCTCATGTTCTTGCTATTGTTGATGCTTTTCGTATTTGTTGTTGCTGCCGTTGTTGCTCGTGTTGCGAGTGCTGTCAGCGATATTGTTGTTGCCTCTCTTTGTTTTGTCATGTTTCTTGCTCTGAGCACGATCACCCATTACTATCATGGTTATTAGGCTTAGAAATTAGGTCTTTGGGGGTCAGGGCAAAAGGCTTCGGAACTCAGAGGACGAGAGCGCTGCTGCGGCACGAAACCCCATGACTCATGCTGGCCCCTAGGTTCCCTAAAACCCTAAACTACTATTTGCTTAAGAACCCCCCCCAAAAAATAAAAAATGATAATCCTCATATTGCCCTTATAAGCAAGAATATTTTGATTCTTTGGGGGGTTGTTAAGCAATTCGTAGTAAACTTCCCTAAGCCTCAGACGACACCCAAGTTCGGCCCGGGTGGCCGTGAGGCTTCGGCAGCCGCGGGGGTTTGGGCCGCAAGCTCCATCGCATCGTCTGCTGGGGGAGCACTCGCGGCTCCTGCGGCTGGTATTGCTCGAAGACTTTTCTAAGGCTTCCGGCGGGCATAAATTCTTGTTGTAGGCTTGCAGACTTGCCAAGGTCTCCGGGGCCTGCATAAGTTCGTCGCCAGTTGTCAAGCTCCCCAGGCAGTAGGCTTAAAATATCCTGGGGCGCCTAACCCAAAGTGTTGCCCTCCAAGCGCATTTCGGATTCCCCCGCTCTCGCAGCTCCTGTGCCATCCTTCGCCGCCGCCCGAATCCTGCGGTTCCAGGTGTCCACCACACCCTGCCAGACTGGCATATCCATCTCCTGCCAGAATCCAAAAATCATAAACGCAACAACGTGAACTGCATGACCGCCTTCTTGCGGTGGAACTTTGAGTTTCTGAAGCAAGAAATTAGGTCTCGATCACCTTAATTCAACAGCCAAGTAGAAGGGTTGCTGGAGCCCTCTTCGGCCTCCTTCATCCTTGACCCCTGCAGCCCTCCTCCTTTGGAGGATTGGAGGGCTGGAAGGCTGGAGGGCTCTGGATGAAGGGTTGGTCAGGGTTGAATAAGACATGTTTTTTCAAGACTTTCAGAAATGTCCTAGACTCTCGTGGACCTTTGCACATCTCTTATCAAACAAGTTTTGACCGTAGTGGCGGGCTAGGGGCCGCCTTGGCATGAACCTCGGAGTAAGCGTATGTGGGACTGAACGCCCCAGCTCTGGCCGCAAAGTGTGCGACACAAAAACCTAGGCCCGGACAAACAGAGACCTGTGGGTTCGTTCCAAACAAGAGCATTTTTTTTGAGAGCTGTCCCCAAGCTACCCTAAACCCTAAACCCTAAACCCTAAACCCTAAACCCTAAACCCTAAACCCTAAACCCTACACCCTACACCCTACACCCTACACCCTAAACCCTACCCTGTTTTTGGCCATGGGCCTGCACGTTGCCGTCAAAGAGCTCCTTGGGGGCCACGGCGTAGGTGCTGGGCGGTGTGCTGGGAGTCTTCTGGGCCCTGCGCAGCAGCTCCTGCTCGAAGGAGGGTTTAGGGTTTAGGGTTTAGGGTTTAGGGTTTAGGGTTTAGGGTTTAGGGTTTGGGGGGGGGGGGGGGGGGGGGGGGAGGGGGTTTGGGCCAAAGGGTTTGGGGTTTAGGGTCTCCAGGTGCAGGGGGCTCCCAACGTTCTCTCTAAGACTCCAAGGGGCTTTGCAGCTTGAATCCTGCGGGCTTTGGGCCCATGGGCTGAGGGGGCTGCAAGGCTTAATCTTTCTAGTGCTCTAAAAAATCAGTCCTTTCACAAAGCCAACCCTGACCCAAACCCTAAACCCTACAAACCTAAGCCTCTCTGACAACACCGAAAAAGTCGGCGAGCAGATCTGCAGCCGCAGCAGACACCCACCCCCCCGATAATAATTCGGGTTTCCTTTCTGGAGGCTGGTTACTTTATGAGGGAACCTGAAACCGGGCCGCCCGTTTGGGTTCGAGACGAGTTCAGGAGCTTTGCAGAGGCTGGAAGGGATTTCAAGGGACTCAAGGGCTATCTAAGGTGTAGTTACAGGGGTTACATAAGGGACTAAGATTAGTTCAGGGCTGTAGGGCGTGGGCTTAGGGTTTAGGGTTTAGGGTTTAGGGTTTAGGGTTTAGGGTTTAGGGTTTAGGGTTTTGGGTTTTAGGGTTCAGGGTCCCTTCTAGGGGGTCCTTCCATCCCTTAAGGATTACCAGGGCCGAGAGGGCGCGGCCTTGGCGCAGCAGTTGGCCTCGAAGCCCTGCTGATCCCGCCTGCAGGGCGCCGCTGGCTCAAAAGGGCCACTTGGGATGTTCCCCCGAAGACTAGCAGTCCTTCATAGGGACTATAGTACCTGTTATAAGGACTGAAAAAGGGGCAACATCCCAAAGGACCACCATTAAGAATTAAAACAAGAAAAGGTTCAGGGTTTAGGGTTTAGGGATGTTCAGGGTACACGCAACCCCAAGCCCTGAAGAACTGCAATGCAGGCTTCCCAAAAACGCTACGTGCACGTGGGGTCTGGCAGGAGCATGGCTCCAGTTCCAGGGGGCTTGAGTGCTTGGCGGTGTCCTAGTGATGCCCATGCTACCTTTGGCCCGATACAGGCGTACATAACCCAAGGCCCCAAAGCCAAAACAAAGCATGCCCCAACATGCCCCAACAACATCTCATCATCCGGCAAAACCCGGACCCCTTGCAATGGCTCGAAGCCGACTGCCCCCCCCAAAACCTGGAAACACTACAAGCCCGGAGATGATCCAAAACTAGGCCCCTCGAGCGCCCAAGCTTGCCAGCCGACCACCTGCAAGCCGAAATTTCCCCAACCGCGAAACCAAAACCGCAACCACAACCCCACACCCAGCGCTCCAGGCTCCCCTTCTTCTTTCCTTGATTCCGCCCTCTACCCCTCCCTCCTCCTGGCCTGCGACCGTCTGCAGCCTTATGGATGCGCGGCCGCTCATTTCTCGGAGGCTCCAACGCGCGAGGATGCATGAGGATGACCTCCATTATGGGGTTTCATTGTGGGGTTTAGGGTTTAAAGTTTAGGGGCCACCGGGGGGTTTTGTGACTCTACGGTTCTTGCTGGTTCAGCCCCCGCGAACGCGACCTAACATCTCGGTCTCTAGATATTACAGCACGTCTGGTTCTTGTTTGTCTTCCGCTCCATCCTCCCATTCCTTCTTCTCCAACTCTTCCTCCCTGTTACGAGGCTCTCGCCAACTGCGTTGGCCTACGCCGGACCAGAAGTGCAGCCTGGACTACCAACCTATGAGTTTGTGGTTCCTTGAGGGCTCCGCGTCCGAACCTTAACTCACAGAGGCTGCATGTCTGGCACTTCACTGTTCCTGTTCTGAGGCTCCGCTTCAGATTCTGGATGTTTCGTCTTTCTGGGGTGGTGGGGGGTTTGGTACTTCCTTTAGGGACATCAGGAATCTACAGAGATTGCACGGCCTTGGCACGTAATGTGTAAAAGATGCAAGTGGTACTTGAAGACGTTCACTGGCAGAGTCTTTGGGAGTCTGTTGGGTTGCTTCAAGAAGTGCCACGTCAACGTGCGCAGCTGGATTTCTTAGTTGTGTGATCTCGCGTTGTGAGGCGTGGGTTGCGACCCTTCTTAAACCCTAAACCCTGTGCAGGCCTTCTCCAAGCCAGGTCCAACAGGAAGCTTCGCCTTCTTGGTGAACGTCCTGTGTCAGAAGTCGCAACGCCAACGTTCCATGCTTTAGTCAAGGATGGTCAGGGCTTGCGGGCTGAGACTTGCTTCTACTCACCAGCTGAGCACCGCATGCTGGAAGAACAAAGTCCCCTGCCCCATTATTACGAAACACACACATATAAATAAATAAATAAATAAATAAATAAATATAAATATATATATATATATTTATATACACACATATACTTATAGGATAGTATATAATATTACATGATATACTACCGTATACCTGTCAGTATGTCTCATTATCTTTCATTACTTTTTAGCTGCTTATCGTGTTCGGTTATACATGACTATATGTCATTGCGAACTCAGCTGCTCTCAGTCTGTCCTTCGCTCTACCACAGGCGTCTTTGGTAAATCGAGGACCCATCGCTGCTCCGACTCTTTCGCGGGAGCCGCCATGGGTCGTGGCGTCCTGAGCTGCTGAGCCGGGCGGACTTGCCTTGTAGAGTCAAGTACATCTCCACGGTTTAGGGTTTAGGGTTAGGAGAGCAGCTGTTTCAAGTCAAACCGAGGACCTGGCCAAAGATCGCCCGGCTTCACGAAGAGGTCCAGGCCCAAAGGGCGGGTTGGGTCCAACGTCTCCCGTGGCTCCGGCATTGGCTCGGCCTGTGGATCCTCCACAGAGACACTGCTCACCACGCTGGCATCGTCTGGGCAGGTCAGGAAGGTTGCCGGAAATTGAAATCGAGCCTCGGCAGAACCCGACTGACCATCGCTCTCCCCCGCATCAGGCGTATCTGGACCAGCTTCTGGATCTGGTTGCGGCACGCTCTTTTCCGATGAAGCACTCGGAACAGGTGGAACGGTCTCTGGGCTTGGAGCGGCCTCGTGCAATTGCTCGTCCACTTGTTCGGCCCCTTCGCTGGGCAGGGCGTCAGGGCTTTGTGGGGTTCTTACGCCGCTTGCATTGTCCACTCGCTGGCAGTTGTCGGGACCTGGCAGGTGTTGGGGAGACTTGACCTTGCTGACGCTTCCACTGCCAGACCTTTGGCTACCAGACCTGGCGCTATCACACCTCTGGCTCTTGCTGCTCGGAAGCTCCATCTCAGAAGTCAGGGCCGACGAGTCCTGGTTGACCACTTCGAGCCATTTGATTTCGCTTTCAGCTGTCCCAGATGCATCTCCTGTCTCTGCCGCCTCCACCGTGAGCCCGTCACAAGCTGATCCCGTCTCTGATGCCCGATGCACGTACTCCGAAGGACTGAGAAACTCACGTAGCAGCTGCATGCAGTTATTCCAGCTCTGGGTCACTGGCTTCGACAGGAGTGCCTCGGTAGCGCTGCCCTGCGCACAGCGTCCGCACTCTGCGCAGAGGAGGAAGCAGCGGCTTTTGGCCTCACAGGTACGGCACTTCCACCAAGGCTCGTAGGGCGCCTCCTGGCCGGCAGAGCACAGGAGATCGTCGGCGGTGCGCTTGCAGCGGTGGCAGAAGTGACCCAAGGTTTCTGGAGCCCTGGCCAGGCTGGGCAGCGGAACGCGATCCATGCCGTGGCCCAAGGAGCAGCAAGCGCTGGTCCCAACCCCCAGGGTGGTCAGGGCCTTCAGCAAGCTCTGTGCCAGACGACTGTGCAGGGTTTCGAGGCCTCGGCTCACTTTCATCTCCCAGCTCTCAACTCCCTCCAGCAACTCAAGATTTGAGGAGGTTTGAATAGCTCAAACCAGAACCCAGTTTAAAGCAAACGCAGCAACTCCACATTGCAGAATGAATGCTAGCATCGTGATCCCAAACCAGCACACCCGCGACCCCAAGCATCAAGCTCCGGAATCTCCAAGCTCCCACCCATAAGGCCCCCCAAGCCTTCAAACTCCATTAAGCCCCGAAGCCCTAAAGCCTAAGGCCCGTGGCCCTAAACCCTGAACGAAGACAAGGGGATGTGGAGGTGAGCCTGCCCATACATATCTCAAAAGTGAAGGTCGCAACCTCACAGTGTACGCCGACGCCTCTTGGGCACTTTGCATTTTAGCTTCTGTTTGTGGACCTCCCAAGAATAAATAAAGTAGGGTGCAGGCCCGCAAGGGCCCCAGTCTTGATTCAGCTTGTCAACCCAGCAGAGCAGGGGTAGGTTGACGACGCACATCGCACGCGTGCCGCCCAGGGTGCTTCAAGCTCAAGCGCCTGACACACCCGGTTCAACCCAGACTCAACAAACCGTAAGCCGAAGATTAAACCCAAACCCTCCAATCCCAAACCCGAAACCCAGGTTCCGACGCTGCGCCAGGCCACGCACTGCGCGCTGCAGGAGGCGCCGTGCGACGAGAATGGAGGCTTCCGTGCCCCAGCGGGAGGCTTCCTAGAATAGTTTCAGTTTGAGGGGGTAAGGGTTTAGGTTCCAGGTTCTTGGGCTTAATTACTTAGGAGCCAAAGGGTTTCATGTCCTGTGCACTAGTCAATACAACAAACTACGTGAGGGTTCAAGGATAATGGCAAGGATATTGAAAGGGATTTTCCCCGCCCCCCCTCAGACGACGCCACAACAAGAATACTCTGCCATTGAGTCTAGCTCGCCCCAAAAACAACATGGAAAAAGGTTTCTCTCGGGGGCATGTGCCCTTGTTCACATTGCAGGAGAAAATGCCTGTTGAAGCTGTTCCGTTGTTTGATGGCACGCTCGTCATGCTCGTCCAGCTCCTATTCTCGTACCTTGCCCAACACTGCTACTGCTGCGACCAACACCACTACCACTATCACTACTACTGCTACTACGACGACAAGCCGAAGTGTACATCTTGCAGATGTAGGCAGAGAAGTAATGGCTTGCCCACAGCATCTTCGCAAGATGCTCGACGCAGGCTTCAGGCTTCTAGCTCGCGGCCTTTATCCAACAGTTCAAGCCTGCAGATTGCCGGCCAGGATTCAAACAAGGAGGGGGGCGGGGGGGGGAGGGAGGGAGGATTGGCGGTGGGGGGGGGCCTTTATTTGGAATATGAATGATTAAAACAGCGGGGATAAGCCGGGAAGCCAGAAGCCGAATGAAACTCCACACAAGAACTGATAAACAATCCCAAAAAAACGCCACCACCAACCAAGCGACCGTCGAACCCAGTTCACAGTCTCTTGAACTGAAGATCTAGACTTCCTATCTCATAGCCTGACGCTAAACCCCCAAAATTGATTCACTGAATAGGTTGGCCCTTGAACCACCTAAAAAATGCTCCTACATGTGATACTCTTTAACCCAGGTAGGGGAAAAGTACAATATCCCAAGGGCCTACCCAGGTGGTCACAAAGGCCTCAATTCATGCGCTGACCTCAACGAGTCTTCAGGCCAAGAGACATCTCGCAACTGGCGGATTGTCATGGGGAGCTTTCGCGCTTGGGCAGCCTCCGGCAGAGGGAACGGCTGCAACTGCTGGCCGCTTCCTAGGCCCTCCACATTCCTCTGATCCCTTTCTCTGTCTCTCCCAGCTACGCTTGCGCAGTGGCTTGCTCGCTTGCACAAAACAGCTGTTTCAAAGCAGGAGAAGAAGGTGCGCTAGGAGACCCGTTCGCCAAAGTGTGATTCCATGCCGCTGAGTCTCACAGACTGCAATCTCGTGGAGAAGAGCATCGCAGTGTCCTGGCACGTTGTGGCACAAAGCAGGAGAAATCGTGTGCACGGTGCGCAAGGCCCGACTAGGGAAAGGCCGCCAATTAACCGGTGAGCCCAAACCCTACTTGGAGGTTCATGGGTAATTATGTGAGTAGGGTCGTGAGTCATAACTATCGTTGTAAGACTTGTAACCCTCCATATGATTCCTTCTGAACCTCCATGCATAACGTCAAAATGCTCTGAATCCTGAGCTCCGTGCCTAGACTTCGCAGTAGGTGCCGCATGCAGAGATCTCCGCGGGAGATCTCTGTGACCGCCTCCTGACAGAAGATACCAGAAGTCAGTGAATGCATCTACAGTGGAAATAGTCCCCTAAACCATAAACCCTAAACCCTATAACCTAGAACCCCTAACCCCTACACCCTAAACCCCAATCCCATTTCGTCTGCAGAAGGTCTGAAAGCTGCCAATATCCCCCCCCCCCCCCTATACCCCCCCCCCCCCCTATATCCCCCCCCCCCGACCTTAGCCACGTCGCCAAGGATGCGCCGCAGGCCCTGGGTGTCCAGCACTGGCCCTGACCAGCTCTGGGGATGGGGTTTAGGGTTTAGGGTTTAGGGTTTAGGGTTTAGGGTTTAGGGTTTAGGGTTTAGGGTTTAGGGTTTAGGGTTTAGGGTTTAGGGTTTAGGGTTTAGGGGTTAGGCTTGGGGAGTTGGTGGAATCGATCGAAAGCCCCCAAACCACTGCAAGCGGGCGCCTTGACATGTTTCATAGACAGCTCCCTGATGACTACTTGCTTGAACATGGTGTTTGAAGTCTGAACTCTCGCGAGAATCATTATGCACGCCCCTGAAACCTCAAGTAAATGCAATAATATAGGGGTCGGAATAGTTACAAATAGTATTCCCTTAAGGCCCCTTTGTCATTTTACTAAAATAACCCCCCCCCCCCCGCAAACCCCATTCTAATTCTTTAATGCCCCTACATTACCTACATTACCGTCTCCTCAGCCGGATCCACCTCCCAAGCGCTGCTCCAGCCGCCGCGCCATCCGCTTCCGAACGCTCGGCAGCACCCTGCCAGTCCGGAGGAGTCTTCGGTTTAGGGTTTGGGGTTTAGGGTTTAGGGTTTTGGTCTCGCTCAGTTTCACTTGGGCGGGGGTTCCGGTTGCAAATGCGGAGGACCGTTTACAAGTTTCCATGGCAAGTGAAGGGGCTGATGCGAAAATGACCTTGGCAGTCGCAATCATGCTAAACGCCCGTGCCTGCGATGATGTTGCCCTTCTATCTTAGTTGCAACTCCAATGGGAGTCGCTGTGGTCACCGAATCTCTCATCGGAGCCATCTCAATCTGTTTGCAGCTGAAATAAACATAACGACGAAAACGAAACAGCGAATGATTGAACATGACCATAGGCTTAGCAGGTGTAAAACTAACAGTTGATATCGGTCTGAAACGTTCTGCCGCGGCATAGACCCAAAACAGTGGAAGACCACTCGACGACACACTAAGAGAGACGAGAAAATAGCGTCTTTGCCAACAACTCAGGACCGCTTCTCCCAAAACCCCCACGAGGCCGAACATCGTGTCCCAACCGGGACTTTCGCGCCCCAAGATGTCTGCATGGCATGGGTAAAAAGGGAGCACGGCTTGGCAAATGCGAAGGTCCAGGGACAAAGGGTTGCCTTTGAAACCGCTACGGTCCAAAACCTGTGCTCGCAGTCGCAAAAGTACAGTAGCTGTAGCAGCAGCAGCAGCAGCAGCAGCAGCAGCAGCAGCAGCAGCAGCAGCAGCAGCAGCAGCAGCAGCAGCAGCAGCAGCAGCAGCAGCAGCAGCAGCAGCAGCAGCAGCCGCACTGGTTGTAGAGCAGGAGTGAGAGGAGTGAGTGGTAGAAGGTGCTCTTGTTCATGGAGGAGGCGGCGTAAGGGTGGGAGTAGCAGGAAGACAACCTTAGAATGGACAGCAGCAGTCATGCTGACAACAGGGTTGTGTGCGGGAATTGGCTTAGGGTGCGAAAGGCCCACACCACCGAGGCAAACACATCTCGACTATGATCCAAAAACAGAACCTCCTAACCCTAAACCCTAAACCCCCTAGGCACCCTCTCCACTTTCTTTGGCAAGCAGACGATGGTGCCGAGCTGGCTACCCTCCCATTCGTGGGGACCTCGGTGGCACACCTATCCTTTGGGAGCGCAGCGCGAATCAGGCTGGTGTCGGGCTCCGTCCGCTGCGAGCCCTTCAAAATCCGATTAAAATTGCATGAAGCCAGGGGAAATAAGTCCAACATCGAAGCCAAAGGAGAAAGAACCAGCAAGTGACGGTCACCTCAACTCAGCAAATCGACTTGGCGCAGGTTTGGGATGTCGCAGTCAGTCTCACGCGCTCACTCAAAGCGCTGCTGGATGCGCAGGGCGCGCTGCTTGGCAGCCGCGTACAGAAGCGATTCCGGTTCCGCGAGTTCCTTGATGACCTTTGAGGGCTTAGCTTCGTCGAAGATCTTAGGCTGTAGGACTGTAGGATATGTAGATATGCCTGGTTTGGGAGATGCAGGATGTGGGCACGAGGCTTCAGCGACTCGGGTGCCAAGCAGTTCGTTCATACTGACACTGGGCACCCAGTGTTTCGGACGGCCTACCTGGCGGGGACCCTGAGCCCTCCTCAGCCCTACCAGCACCAAGCAGAGTTTCGCACAGTGGCTGGCCTGGCGGTGAGTGTCCGGGATGTGGCAGTTCGGGGCGTAGGCATTCTGATTCAGCGTCAGGTTCTTGAGGGCCCAGAAAACCTTGGTAGCTCAGTAACCATATTATACTAACGGCACTTTTTTTTTGGGTTGGTTACTTTAAAAGACAAAACCATAAACCAAAAAAAAAACGGGTAAAGGGTACCACTGGGCTACCAAGAAACGGTCTTGAACTGCGGGAAGGTGTTGACCGCAGCCTCACAGCAATCATATAGGTGGCCGGCTGGCATGACCCCAAGCCCTGAAGCCCCAAAACCAGAAGAAGGTGAGAGCACTCGACCGAAACCCTAAACCCTAAACCCTAAACCCTAAACCTTAAACCCTAAACCCCCAACCCCAGCTCGTATGGCCTTGAAGGTGTCGTGCTGGTCTACCAGGATGGGGACGCACTGCCCCAAGGTCTCCAGTGTAGCATTCCAGACCTCAGGCTTAGGGACCCTAAGCCCTGCATTTGCAGGACCTTATACCTTATCAAATATACAGAGCCTTAACATGAACAACAGGGACAATATAGATAAGAACAGGATCAGCAATGATAATATACTATAATACTCTTTCGGCTGCGACGGCTGCTGCTGATCGTAATACAAATTACAACCATTAAGAGTTAACATGTCAAAAACATTCATGAACCAGCAACGCATACGCGCGCGTTTCTGGTTTTTATCTGCCCTCGATCCATCCCAAAAGCCTGGGCTTTGGGATTGGGAGTCTTAGTGTTTGGGGTTCAAGGCTTTAGACTTTACTGTAGGGTTTCGGAGACCATCAGGCCCCGGACTCAGAGCATCCTTGCAGATCCGACAAAGGCGCAACCCTAAACCCTAAACCCTAAACCCTAAACCCTAAACCCTAAACCCTAAACCCTAAACCCTAAACCCTAAACCCTAAACCCTAAGCCCTACACACGCGGCCTGCATTCGGGACAAACGGTCCTTGTTGCCACCCTTGAGATCAGGCCACACTGCCCCAACCTGCAGGCTGTCAGGCTTTAAGGATGCAAGGGGACTGTTAAGGGCTTTAAGGGCTGTTTTAGGCTTTTCTTTTCGGTTCTTTTTTTTTGGAGGTTTTTTTGGGTTTTCGGCCTCAGGGTTTAAGGATCGGGCTTGTTTCTGCGTTTGTTCCCAGCCTGCGGAACGGCTCGTTGACGCAGCCATAATTCACCAGCATGGACCGAAGCTTCTCTGGGGCCAGCTTACTCATGCACCAGGGGGCCACCCTCTTGGTTTTGACAAGTCGATCCGTGTAGCAGGATATGAGGCGAGCCTCAGGGTCACGGAAGTTCGTAAGGCAAGAAGGCTGCTTGTCCTCTCCGAGTCGGTGCAAGGTCTGGTGCCAGCAAAAGTGCCCTCCGTACACAGAAGAGCTAGCCTCTGAGATGTGGAACTCTCGACAATCCACGCCACCGGAGCAAGCAATGTGAGGCTTCAGACCTGCGTTGATGGAGACGTTATACAGAAGCTTGCGCAGGGTTGTGCCGCCTGCCCGGTACTGGTGCATGAAGACGAGTGGTCGGCTCACTGAGACATCGGCGTTGACTGCCGGAACAGGGTAGTTTAGGAACTGTTGCACCATGCGGTTCACGAAGTCCTCCGCATCGGACTTGTTGGCCTTGCTGTTCGCCAATGTGTTCCCCAGCTGCATGGCACACTGGTCGTCGGAACTGCTCGCCAGGAGTGCAGAAGAAAGGATAGCCACGCTGGTGCACCTCATGAATCTCTTCAGGGAAGTGGCCATCCAATTCGCGCGCGAGGCTTCGGTGGGAAGCCCAGCGGTTCGGAGTTCGATCTCAGATACTGCCGAATCGAGTTCCCAAAAAACGCTTTAAGCATGGTTTGCAAGCTTGAGCATGGGGTAAGCAACATTTCAGTCCCGGCCAGTTTGAAGGTTCAAGGCGTAGGTTGAGGCTTCGCTTGAACGCCCGCGCATTGTCATGACCTGCCTGTGTGTCTGCAGGTCGACGAGCGCAGGCGGCGCAGCCTCAATCAAGATGGACATAGAAAAGATCTGCATGATGGTCATTCTGAGATGCCGCCCTGCAACTCTTGTGAGGACCGAACCCCTAAAACCCTAAGGTGAAAGGCCCTGCAACCCCTACGAGAACCCTGAAGCCCTGCAACCCTGAAAGGGCCCTAAAAGGCCCCTTAAACCCTCAAGCCCTGCAAGCCTAAAAGGCCCCTAAAACCCTACAACCCTGAAGTTTAGGGTTTAGGGTTTTAGGGTTTAGGGTTTAGGGTTTAGGGTTCCCAAAACCCTGAAACCCTTCTTGAGCTCTCAAGACCCTGGCCCGGGCTGCACTGCTCGCCGGCAGCGGTAGGGTCTTCTGCAAGGTGGGGATCGAGCCTGGAGGCTGCAGGGGTCTGTGGCGGCTCGATGAGGTTTGGGGTTTGGGGGGTTTAGGGGTTTAGGGGTTTGGGGGTTTGGGGGTCTGGGGGTTTGGGGGTTTGGGGGTTTGTGGGTTTGTGGGTTTGTGGGTTTGTGGGTTTGGGGGTTTGGGGGTTTGGGGGTTTAAAGTCCCCGTGTTTTCAGGGATCAGAGGCTTGGTAGCCCAGGAAGCATACCATAATAAGGGCCCTTTTTGGGGTGGGTTGCAAGGGAAACTTGGAAGCCAAAAAAATGCAAAAAGGTCTCCGCTGGGCTACCAAGAAGGGGTTCAAAGGGTCAGGGTTTGTAGGGCCTTCTCGCACGCTTACGTAGGACTTTGGGGTAGGGAGGGAAAGCCCATAGCGGCTGCGCGAGAATCTCCTACGTCCAGCTGGTTGTGAAAATCAGAGGCGCGAACATCAACGAGCCGGACACAACCCCAAACTTCCTCAACCCCAATACTCATGCAGCCGGAGCGGACATCCCAAGTAATCCGCTGCTGGGTTTGGGCGGAGGGTTTAGGGCCGAGGCTCACTGGTGGTGCCCTGAATCCTAAACCCTAAACCCTAAACCCCGGAACTTCAAAAGGCCGGCCCTCCCCATGCGGGCGCACCGCTGGGATCGCTTACTCTTCTGAGGGTCCGCCCTCGAGAACCTGACTCTCTTAAAAAGAGCAGGGTTTATTTAGGGTTTAGGGTTTAGGGTTTAGGGTTTAGGGTTTAGGATTCAGGTGACGGTTCTAAAGGCTTTCACGGGGTTTTAATCTTGGGTCGTTTGTGTTCAGGGTAACCCTAGGGTCACGGGCCTCGGGGGAGGCTCTCCTGACTCAATACTTCGGAGGATTTATAAGGGGGTGCGATAGCCCTCCTTTGGGTTTTTCTCGAGGCAGAATGGAGCATGGAGCCCTCCCCCCCCCCCCCCCCCCAAAAAAAAAAAAAGAAAAAATGTAAAAGTCACTTTCATACCCTGAAGCAGCGCTTTGGGGTTGAGGGTTCAGGGTTTAGGGTTCAGGGCTCCATGCTCCTTTCTAACATAGGCCTTGTCGCTTCGGAACCCTAAACCCCACCCCCCAAACTCCAAGCCCTGAACCTGTAAGGCCCTACTTGGATCTTGATGGGTAGTTATAAGTGGGGTTATAAGTAGGGTACATATACTTATAACTCCCTTGCTGGGTCTCAGCGGCTTGCAAGAAACTAAGTTTTTAGGCTTTTTGCACTACATATATGAGTAAGTTATATTAAATATATATCAATGCAAGACTGGATTGCCTGGAGTGGCCTGGCACGCCTTTTGTTCCTCAGTCATGCATTCCGATCTTGAACTCCACCCGCTCGAAACGGTCCTGGCCAATCCAAGAAGCTGGCACAGCCAGGGTTAGCTGCAGCACGACGCAAAACTCAATCAGGCTTGAATCATCCCTCAAATTTCTTTCTGCCTCGCACAGACCCGGACTCGGGCTCGGTCACCCCTGGTCGTAAAGAACCCCAAGCTTCATGAGGAGCTTGTCCAGATTCCAGGACTTGCCGCTCTCAGCAGAATCGGGCTCGGACACAAATTAAAAGTCAATTTCGGATGCCGAGGTTTCTCAGGCATCCCTCCCTGTAAACTCGAAGCTTACAGCCATTCAAGGCCCCATGCGCGAACAACACATCCGAGTGTGCCGGATATTTGTTGGCAAAACCCTCGGTCAGATACAAGTGAAAGTGCAGGTCCAAGGCTCGTTGGAAGGCGTAAAAATTGCCCTTCTGCATTGCGGTCTGAATGAAATCTCGGTCGCAAACTCGGACTCCTCTCAGTCTGGCTTCCAGGGCCTCCGGCAAGTAAAGCCCTTCGGATATGTTGGCGACCATTAACACGTCGGCCGACGCAATGTCCATGGTCAAGCGGAAGCGGGCACTCACATTCTCGGGCCAGTGGGCACCGTGCGCCATCTTGACGCAGACAGTGTTGCCAAGCTTGGGGGCTTTGGCCCGGGCAGCACTCGGAGCATTGGCGGCCATGGGGCCAACCACGGACCCTGTTGCATGGACATATGCAGGTACACAGCCTGCCTTCGTGCCAAAATCAACCTTTTTTCGCTTCTTGACGAGCTCGATCTGCGAAGCCACTGCGGCATTGATGACCTCATCTTCCGTCGTATCATCCTTGTCCGCCACGGACTCTGGCGTCACCACCTCCTCGTTCTGCTCGGGCGCCTTTCTCTTGCTGGACGAGGATGCAGAGCTGGAGGCAGGTTGTTCCACGCCTCCAGCTGGAGTCAGGATTGTTCACGGCCATAGGTCAGAAACAAAAGCAACATCATAGCTCGGAAAACTATAAATAAACCTACTTCGGCGCGGCTGAAATGCCCACTCTGAGTTCGGCGGCTTCCGCAACAACCATCTCGGACATCGTGTCTTGGGACCCTTTTGCGCCCGTTCGCACAGCACAGTCGAGTGACTCCTTGTGTTGCCTCATCTGGGCTGCTATGGATTTGCTCGAGCTCGCCCGCAATGGTGCCAACCTCGGTTTGTCATTGCGCTCTTGCACGGACAGGAGGTCTCGGGCAGGTAGCTGCTTCTCGCCGTAAAACTCAGCGTAAGCCTTTTGGGCTCGCAGGCCAAAGTAGCTTGCCCGCCAACGCACCTGCCGATCTTGGCTCTCGGTCGCGGAAGTAGTCAGGGACTCGGGCTGGAAGACACTGGCTCGGCCACTCATGTTCTGAACGTTGAGTTTGACACTATCCTCGAGTCGGAAAATGTTGAGGTGATGAGCCCTGCTTTTCTGCTCGGTCAAGCTGATCTCGTGCAACCACCGCTCCACATTGCAGGTGGACGTCATGAACACGAGCGAATGCTTGATGAGCTTCACGGCCGCGTACCTGTTTCGGATCTGGCTCTTTCTCAGCTCGGACAGGGTCTTCACCCAGGCCAGCTTGGATGGCTGCTGGCTGGGATTCTTCGCGTGCCACAAGGCTCGAGCAAAGAGACCATGGCCAGGTCCGTGATCCTCGGGCGCCTGTCCCCAGAACTGCTTCCTGAGTGAACAGGCGGCTGGGACTTTAACACGCATAACTCAGTCTCTGCCACTGGCTCTGGACTACAAATCCAAATTAAAAAATCAGCTACCAAGGTGCCAGAGCATCTTGCTGTCTAAATTCCACTGCTTTGCGACTCGGCCGATCATCGTTTCTCACTGCTCACCTGGCAGGGAACGACGGCTTCCGGTTGAAGCCCCGCGATCTAAAGTGCATCAGTCAGAATCGGAGCCTTCTCGAGCGGGACACTCTCGTCAAGGCGTGGAAGCGGGCACCGCCACCCTGACCCTGACCCTGACTCTGGCTCGGTGCTGGGCCAGCCATGTAGGCAGCTCTGGCTTCAGGTCCCAGTTTTGCGAGTGCCTCAGGCAGAGACTCATGCAAGAAGCCCAGCTGCGGAGCGGTTCTCGGATGTAATATGGATTCCCGGGCAACTGATTTTGCCACCACATCAAGAGTTGGTGAGCTTCGGCTGCCGCTGATGCCATTTCCTGGCGGGTAAGTCTTAAAGGCTGCTCGGTCTGTTGCTTAGACTCAGACTGAAACATAAAACTATCTAAAACCTCCAACGCTGCTAGAGCCAAAGCACTCGGATGCATCTCACGAGTTCTTTGATGTCTGTCGACTTCGAGTACCGAGTCTTGTAGTCCACGGACGGAAAAGTGAGCTTGGCCAATCCATACTCCTGCCAATGACTCGGACGATTCCTCCTGAACCACCCCAAGGCCTGGCTGTAATCGTCCAGCAAGGTGTTGAGCTCCTAAGTTAGAAGACATGTCAGACGTTCGTCAGGAAATTTTGCCATGCTGGACCATGCAATTGCTAGCCAAGTCTCGCACATGTCCACGATCATCTGGCACTGCAGGTTGGACAGCGGCACGTCCTTCTTGGCTCGGGCCTGCACGTGCTCTTTGGCCTCAGTTTGGCAGCAGGACTCGGCGTGACAGATGCCCCAAGCAAACTGCACAGCTCGGACTTCGCCATCATTGAACTAACTTCGAACAGGTCACCTGCTGGGCCAATTTCTGCCTCTTCTTGTGCTCGCGCTGCGCCTTGCCCGTTGGGGCCTTTTTGGGTCGTGTTTTCGCCCACCCACCCTGTGCCCAGCTCAAACACCTCCTTCAGGCCTCGCTAACACCTTATACGCCATGCCGGGCCCGCCTACAAAGGGGTGTGTGCATAAAACCTGCCAAGCAGCATCTCAGCCCCGGCTGTGAATCTGAATGACTCAGTTTCACCTTGCTGCTGCATTGCACTCGATTGGACCCAGCCTTCTTCTCGGGCAAGGAGCCATTGTCGGGAAGCCCGGACCACCACTCATCGGACGGGCCCC